TGTGGCATCAAAGTGAGATATCACTCACAGTAAATTTTACAGTATGAGGAATGAAACAGTTAGCAAAGTTGACATTTAAACCATCATCACTGGCTATGATTAAATACCTCAGAGATGAACAGAGTGGTTCACACCTCAGCAAGTTATTGTTCTAGGCTCTTATCAGAGCCCGGACGCCACTGCATCCGCCGCCTTTCCACACACTTGAGATTTTCTTTGAATCTGTAATAGCTGGAAACCTCTTTAAGCTGAGATTCTGGAGAGTTTCTGATAATGTTACACTGGCAGAGATTGACTGAAACCCTGGCGAACCTCTTGAACTGCAGATTCACCCTTAAAGGTTTAGGCAGATGAATAATACAAGAATGACCAAACTGGCTTCTTGTTCCTCCTCCTCTGATCTCTTTCAATAAGATGTAGGGAAATGAAATGCGGTAAAGAAAATGGCAAATAACCTGCAAGAAACACAGAGGGCAGATGGGATCCCACTGCTTCCAAGAGTCTCTTCTGGAAACAGTATAAAAGGGAAACCTGATGTATTCCTACACCACAAGGAAATGATCTATTCTGTGATAACCACCATGAAAATACATGTTTTGACCACTGAAGCAATAGTAAAGCAAGTCAACCTCCCCAGTTTCCCTCCTCAAACATGCAGTTTCTCAAATCCAAGCTCACATCCCTACCAACAAACACATAATTCCCAAAGTCCAAGGAGGAGGAGCAGACCACCTGCACATGCTGCCTCCTGCAGGAGATGGCAGCTCAGGATCCTCTGTCAAGATCAACCTGTCTGTACACCCCAGCAGTCCCAGAGTGGAGGAGCAGGAGCCCACAGCCAAGGAGGTGGCTGTCCCCAGATCATCCACACCTTGGGATGTCCCACCCAAAGACAGCAGTGACAAATCACAGCAGCTCAGCTGAGCTTTTAAAGTGGAAAATCTCAACTCCTCATAATGGCATCCTCAAATCCCACGGTGGATGTAAATATTAGAATTATTGGCATCTCCTGGGATCTGTGCCCCCTCTTCAGGTGGCAAATTCAACTTTCTTTTCACACACAAACTCTTCAGTCCATAGGAGTATGATGGTGTTCATCACTCCATGCTCAGCAGGGAAAGATTTTCCAACCAGACACTGGAAGCTGCTTAGTTTACCTCAAAACGTGTTACACAACAGCCCTTTTACTACAGTCCTCCAGTTCCCACTGTATTCCCCTGCCCTGGCACATGTGCAGCCCAGATAACCTTTGCCACATGCTGACCAGGCAGGGAGCTGGGGAAACCAGGGCAGTTTTCCTGAGGAGAGAGGGAATTCCTGAAAGAATTTGGATTTTTGCAACGCGGGGAAAATCTGCTCCCTGGTGCCATCTCAATGCCAAATCAACATCAACATTCTCCCAGAGTATCTTGTGCTGTAAATACTGAGCAGAGGAAAACACATGGTTTGTGTTATTGCCCAAGGAAGTCACGAGTGGGATCCTCTGCTAACCAAGAGTATCATTTACTCCTCCAGCTCAGCAATAAGACAAGGCTTCTGAAAACAGTCATCCCAGTGTGGGAACACCAGAGCTGACAGTGGAACAACAAAAAAATTAATTCTGAAACTCCAAAGCTGCCAAAGACACTCAGAAGTAAAACGACAGTGAAAAAAATTAGTTATTCTTTAGGGCATGAACAAAAAGGGTTAAACATTTGCAATATTTCAGGCAAGAATACTGGAGGAAACTTGATCAAAACTAATCCTTAGATTTATATACACTGACAGAAAAACTTCAACAGCTGATACAGTACTAAGTGTATATATATATATATATACACACACACACATTTTGGTCATCCTTTTAGGGTTTTTTTAATATAAAATGTGAAAATACGAAATTCCTAGAAACAGAAAAATTTATAACATCTGGTGTATTTTCTACCCCACTTTACAACCCTGAAGCAGCACATGTCAAAAACAGCCCTGTAATGACTGTACAGACCTTAAGCCCAACACATGAATCTCCTCATGGTGCTGTATGTAGGCTAAAACTCCAGCATTCTCTGTCATACAGCACACAGGTGTCAAATGCAAGGAATTTGGTTATTCTGAAGCTATTCCATTTCTGTCTTCAGTGTTTTATTAATTGACAATGACAAACAAGCAAGTCAATCCATAATTTCAATACTAAAGCCGAAATGAGTGATTTCAAGTCCCTGTTTTAAGTTAACCACTTATTAGCACTGCAAAATGGTTAGAAACAATTTTAGCATCCAGTAAATTAAAAATTCCACAAACATATTTAGTTGAAATTTTGCATTCACATATGTGAGATTGTATGTGTATATATACAAAGAATCACAGGGTGGTTTGGGTTGGAAGGCACTTTAAAGCCCATCTCATTCCACCCCCTGCCATGGGCAAGGACACCTTCCACTATTCCAGGTTGCTCCAAGTGCCATCTGACCCAGCCTTGGACACTTCCAGGGATGGAGCAGCCACAACATAGATTTAAAAAGCCTAAATGATAAAGATTCCTCCTCTCCAAACTGAAACCATCACACTGTGACGTGTCTGGACTTTTAAAGCCCGCCAACTTCCCAAGGAGCAGCATAACCTCAGGTTATTACAATTAGTTTCATCTCATTAATAGATCAATTTCTTTCAAGCATAGTGAAACTGGATTTTACTTTGTTGCTTCTCCTTTTAGGCTCCATTATAGTCTGTGTTCTTAAGTTTTAAGGAGAGCCATCACTGAATAGGTTGTAATCTCAGGTGATTAATTGCCCAGCATTTTACAAGCTGTAAAATAGAGCTGAGATCTCCACAAAGCGATTATGCCATTAACCAGACGCTCTTATCAGCCTTTTCTACAACTACCAGGTTTGTCTGACAGATTGCAAGTCTTAAGTATTTATATATTTCAAAGGTTTACTTATTTTTGTTGTTAAAACCCCCTAAAATCTATATTGATTGTTACATGCAATTCCACACGAGAAGTCCCAAGCACCGTGGAGCAGAATACCAATATTTATTACCAGACTCGTGCTCATTATGGTTCTCTCTGACAGGGGTCCATTAAAATCAATTTTTATGTTTCTCATGGTTTTTTTTTCTCCCCACCCAATGTTCTTACCATGGTGTTTATTAGCCAGTTAGGAGAAACACCAGGCAACTGCTTCGTTTTTATTTTATTCTGTCGAAAATAATGAGCCCAGATTTAACAACTATTCACTAGCGATGAGTAGAAGAGATTAAATGTTATACTTCAGCACAAACATTTACAGATGGCTTTAAAATTTTTAGAACTTTATCAGTGCTAAAGACAAAAGGAAGTCCCACCTTTCTTTTTCAGATTTAAATTCTTAAAGTAATCATAAAAATATACTTCTTGCCTTTAACTTCTGAGTTACTCTTGAGTAACAGTCCCTCTAATATAACAAATTTTGCATTTAAATCATGCAACCTGTGAAATTGTTATCAAGATGCCACTAATGCATCAAAATGAAGTCAGCTCGCCACTGAGAAAACTGAGTATCAAGAACAGATAAAAATTAAAAAATTAGGAGTAGGATCCAGACTGTTCAACTTCTGCTTGAAGAATAAGATCACGAGAATCTTCAACCAACCAACATGGCCACGTTACAGGTGAGCAAACAGCAGATGTTTTGATAAATAAAGAGAGCATCCATCCCTAAGAAAGACCACAGACCTTTTTCCTACTGTTTTTCCACCACTCATTGATGCTTTCCCCTCTTGAGGGTAAAGATCCTCATCTGCTGGGTTGTTCTCCAGCTCTGCAGCAAAGGCAGGTTTAAGCCTTACCTTAAATACACTTTATTTCTATTCCTCACCAGCAGAAATCCAGCACTGAAATCAGCATCTGAAGAAAACTGAAGCACTTCTTTCCATAGCACTGGAGTTGGCAAAACTTTAAAATCCAGAGGCTTGAGGGTTTTTGTATCACAGGTAAAAATATACTTTAACCAGAACACAGATTATGCTTTATATTCCTAATTAATTTTACACACATTTCAGTTACAAGGAGAATAAAACAGAAAAACAGAAAAAGAACACCATACAAATCAATGGAGAATTTCAGAACCAAAAGCAGGAGAAAAAAAAGACAATGTTGAGAGAAGGAAGCCAAAGCTGTTCGAGTCTTGTCAGTAAGAGAAAGCATTAACGTAACATACTGTGGTAAAACTGCAAATTTATTACCAAAAAACAGTTGAAGAGAGCAGACTTTAAAAAGTAGTATTAATAAATTTGATTTTGGCAGAGGAATTTGGCATAGAAATTTGGAATCTGTTTTTCTTTGGTATTTAATTCTGAAAGAATTCAATGTTCCTTCTAAAAATGCCACTGAGCATTTCCTCCCAAATAAAGAAAAAGCAAGGACCTGACCGGGACAGATGGACTCCAGCAGATTGAACAGCACTTACATTAAACAGTAAAATGCACCAGTGCCTCCTCAACCAGGCCTAGATTTGAGACATCACCTCCACTGTCATGGAGCATCTGTTTGGAACTCGAGAGGCATAACAGTTCTGAAAAACCATCTCAAGCTCTCACAAGAACTACACGGCAATTAAAACAATCATTCACTCCTGGTTCTACATGCTGGAACATAGATATATATAATACATATATAAAAAAAGATACATTTTATCTGCAAGATTTGTGAAGTCTGCAAGGAGGTTTTACTCCCCAGTGACAGATCTGCACGTGGGTCAAAAATGAGGGGGACAGGATGTTCTCTCAAAACCTACGTTAAAAATACTTAAAATTTAGAATGTTTCCTTAATAATATTTTTGATGCAGCAGAGAAATGAATGTGTTTTGGAGGCACAATCCCTTAAAGGCACTGGAAGTTCCTTCTGCCTCTCACAGGAGCCAGTACTGAGCTCCCAGAATGACTGATAAAAACAAGCGTGCAGAGTTGTGTCTTAGATCCTCTGGGCAATCTCCTTCCTCTACAAATACATAAACACAGGATCAATAGGACATGAACTCACCCACTTGGCAGCACGGTCATTTTGGGAAGTTTTATTTCATGTAAGCCCGTTTCACACCCGGAGATCTCGATTTTTCCAAGGGGGCTGAGCAGAACCGCACGTTTCTCCTTGCATGGAGATTCTCCAGATTTGGAATTCACCTGTTCAAGAAGACAAAATCCTCTTTAATTACACGTATGTTCACCAAGGAACAGATATCTCAAGGTACTGAGTAGTTTTCAAAAGCAATTTAAAAAAAAGCAAGAAAACAGTGAATGTCAAGTTTTCTCAACTACAGCTTTACTTTCAAAACTGTAGCTTAAACTCATCCATCCTAAGAAGTCACAATCTAAATCAAAGTCTCAAAAAACATGCTAACTAGCAGAACAGTGATCTTCACAAAAATCTGAAATAGCAGCAGTTTCATGGCTGGTTTATCATGGCTGAAATCCGATGTGTTCTGACACTTATTTAAAACAGGATTATTGTGACAACAAAGTATATTCGGTGGTTTAGAGCAGCAGTGTTATGCAAATAACAGCTGGAACACAAATAGAATATGTCTGCTGGATAAATATATGAAAAAATCAATCATTCCTTAACAGAAGAAACATTTTTTTACTCCCATTGTTACCAGTCTGGTTTTACGATTACTGATAGGATGTAGTTGGAAACAGCTGCCAAGTATTTCTCAAATTGGACAAGACCAACAATAACATACTTGTCAAATTCATCTTGCCTAAAAAAAAAAACACCCCGGTTTGAGTCAGTAAATGTTTGAGTTGTATTTACAGTTTGGTTTGTACAAACATTGCAGGAGGACAGGACAGGACACCACAAGTATGTCCAGCGCAGTAACCCAGACACTGAACTGTCGGGCCGGACCCATCGCCATCGATGCTGGGCAGCCAGGGAAAAATCCCTTTGCTCCAAAGAGCTGAATCCATGTGAAAATGGCCAAAAAGTGAACAATCAGAAAACTGCAGGGCAGCTTGATTAACAAACACAGAATAACAGACTCAAAGAATGGGTTGGGTTGGAGGTACCTTAAAGACCATCTGTTGCCACACCTTCCACTATCCCAGGCTGGTCCAAGCCAAGTCCAACCTGGTTTTGGACACTTCCAGGAATGGGGAAGCCACAGCTTCTCTGGGCAACCTGTACCAGGGCCTCATCACCCTGACAGCCAAGAATTCCTTCCCAGTATCCCATCTAACTCTGCTCTCCGACAGTGAGAAGCCATTTCCTCTTGTCCTGTCACTCCAGGTCACAGGTGCAGGACCCTGTGCTCAGCCTTCTGAACTTCATGAGGTTCCCAGAGAAGCCTCGGCTGTCCCGTCTCTGGAAGTGTCCAAGGCCAGGCTGGAGAGGGCTTGGACCAACCTGATCTACTGGAAGGTGTCCCTGGACATGGCAAGGGGTGGAAGGAGATGAGCCTTAAGGTCCCTTCCAACCCAAACCATTCTGGGATTCTAGGAATGACAGACTTGGGGTGCATGGAGGCAGGAAAGTCTATGCACAATGACTTACAGCTGCCCACTGCTCACAGCTGGACAATAATTAGTTGTTTTCAAAATAAGAAAATAATTTAAAATCCCATTATTAAGTGCTGTGGAATGAAGTCACATCTGGGAGCAATATAATCAGTGTGGGGAGAGCAGAAAAAACATCAAGTAGACAGCTTTGCCTACTAGGGCAACAGTAAACTTAAACCTCTGAATTTGGGGAAGTTCTTATGCAATTCCTCAGTTACAGACATGCAGCAACCAGTACAAATTTATTCAGTTTGAAGAAGTCCTGCTTCAGGAATCTGCAGGTTCCCTGTGGTTTATTTACTGTTACTGTCATCCAAATTAGCTTTTTGCTAAGTAGTCATATGTTTGGTGGTGTTGAAAAGGAACTCTCCTTTTCAACCAACTTCTTCCTTGTTCCTCCTTGAGGATGTGGGTGAACTTTTTGGAGCAGCACCTCCTTGTAGAAGTCAGTAAACAAGCAGTAAAAGTTTACATATGTGGAAAACCAGCATACATTCTTCTTGTTTATTGGTGTGACAGCCCTGAACTAGATGCACTGAACCTCATACCATGTGCTCCATGAGTATAACAATTTTAGGATCAGAGGAAAACTTTTCCATCACAACAAAAACACAGGATGCAGCAAGCAACAGAAAACCATAAATAACCCTATGCCTTCTCACCAAGTTGAACTAAGCTTTATAGATGAAACCTTGAGTGACTACAACTCGTATTTTCAGTCTTGTTTATCATACCCATTGGGCAGCAATATTTAAAGGTTTATTTTTATATAGGAATGAAGCTGCATAACAATATATGCACATCCATATGCAACTGGGTCAGGAGCCTCTGGGATGAAGGTCACTGTATGGATTGTACAATGCACACTCCTCTGTCCAGATATTCATTTCACTACTTAAAGTGGATATTAGGAAAAATTGCTTCACAGAAAGGGTTGTAAAGCATTGGAACAAGCTGCCCAGAGAAGTGGTGGAGTCCCCATCCCTGGCAGTGTTCAGAAAATGTGTGAATGTGGTACTTGGGGCCATGGTTGGTGGTGAACAGGGTGGTGGTGCTGACTGATGGTTGGACTTGGGGATATTGAAGGACTTTTCAAAATGAAACAATTCTGATTCTATTGAACTGAAGAGGTGAAAGAAGGCTAAATACTTTTCCAACCTCTGTGTCCCCCTCTATGTGCACAGAATTAAAATCCCACAGACAGGTTTCCACTTGGAAAATGTAGGTGCTCATGGATGTGTTGGCACCCACAAGCATTCAGCCCTCAGGAGATTAAAATTTCTCTTACAACCAGGTTTGTCTGAAGGCTGGGGTCAAAGAGACCACAGATGTCACCTTCTCACACATTTTTCCCTTCAGTATTATGGAGCATTGATTCCTTCCCATCAGGCAGGAGCCAGAGCCCTATTTCTGATGGATCTCCCCTCTGCAGGCTTTTCCATTTCCTTTGCTCTGCTTTAACAATATAAACCTACCACACCAGGTTTCTCAAGTAACCTTGCTTCAATGCCAGGCCAGCTGGCATTGTGGATGTGTTTATCCAAAAAGATCACAGCCTGCAGATAGTTCCCTTAGAGGTGTTTGATACCCTCCCCACCAGAGGTGTGACCAAGGGCCGACTTCTTCATGTACTTTCCATTCTGCACAAATTCATCTGAAAACTCATCACTTCAGTGTCCTGACATTTGCATTGGCAAAGTGGCACATGAGCTGTGATTCTCAAGCCCCTGTTCTGATGATGCCATATCATATCAGTGACTTGCCAAAAAACTATACCAGGAATTTGTGGAGTTTGAGAGGATGATCAATAAATGCCAGGGAAGCTGCTGCTTCATCCTAATTACAGGAGAGAAATACCACTCCTGAACTCTCTAACGTGTCCTTTTTTTGAGTATCACCATGTTCTCAAATCTGCTTGTTATTGATTCAAGTTTGGAATTAAGATTCAATGAAAGCTTGAAACACCAGATTTAAATCTAAATCTTCCCAGGTTTGGCCAATTTCCAACTTCACTTCAGTCATCCCTCTTGATGCACTAAGTTCTACAACCTTCTTGTAACAAAATCCTTATCAAATAACATCATTGATATCTGTCAAGGCACAAACCAAACAGGGACCATCATAAAACACTGTTTAAAATAGTTTTAGTTGCAAAAGGCTTCTCCCACCCCACCTGGGGCTGCAGAAGTGACCAATGAGGCTTCCCACGGCCCCTGGGCTGGCACATGTCAGTGGGCCACCCATCTGAGGTTTTCATGGAATTATAGTTCTTTCTCCCTCTCCTTAATAGCTTAAACCTTCCTGTATTTGTTTTACTGTTTTCTGCCTGTTTATTTAAAAGGAAACAATCCATTGTACGTTAAGAATATAGGAAAAGATATTAATAGTGAAGGCAATGTATTTGTGAACATATACAGAAGGGTGGAGGGTAATTTTCTGAACTCATGCAGCCAATCTTAAGAGGAAAAAGCCACTTCTTAGTGTTTTAAGGCAAAGAAAGATTTAAGGACTGGGAATTAAACACAGGATCCATGCAATCAGAACAATCTAACAACTCACTTTTGTTAGTATCTTGATTACTCATCTATATTTTCACCTTCCAAAAACTACTGCTTCAAGAGAACAAAGAATTTATGTACTACAAATAATTTCACTGCAGGGAGAAAAGAAGGGAAGAGTTATATGGATGTTTCATACCCAAAAATACTTTAATATACTGGAATATCAGTTACACTTCGCCATTCTGGAATAAAAGCTACAGAGAATGACAAACATTTAATTCTCAGTCTTTTTGCTTATTATTAAATGTTTGATTTCTTTCCAAGCTAAAATACAAACTTTTTTAAAAGCTGCTTCCTCCTCTTGAGAAAAGAGTCCAAAGATTTGCAACTCAATATAATGGTGTGAACTCTAAAGCTGTAAATGATTGTGACTGCCCCATCCCTGCAAGTGACCAAGGCCAGGTTGGACAAGGCTTGGAGCAACCTGGGATAGTGGAAGGTGTCCCTGCCCATGGCAGGGGGTGGGACTGGATGGGCTTTAACCCAAACCATTCTGGGATTCCATTATCTGCAAAGATCCCTGAAGATTTGACATCTTAATCTGGACAGACAAAGCTGTGAGAAGTTGTCCTGGTGCCAGGGCAGGCCTTCTCCTTGTCCAGAAAAACCAAGGGAATGCTGCTGCCCTGTGCAACCCACACTCACAGGGCAACCCAATCAACATCACTTATTACTTAATGGAAAAATAAAAATTCCTATATCATTACACTCAAACATCACTCACAGCACCCTTTAAACATATGGAAAACTGTTAATGCAAGGAAAGCTGAGTGCCCCCCAGTTTTTAACTTAAGGTAATAGGTACTGAGGAAGAAAAGAGGTTGCATTCATTGCTTAAATTCAACAAGAAAGTCTTGAAACAAAATCACCATTGTGGGAGCTAATCAGACTTAATTCTGTCAATATAACCTGCTAACAAGTAAAACAGCCTTTAAAATTACCTTTGATGTTCTAAAATACAAGTCCTTTACATTCTGCAGCAGGTTCTTGTGAACTAGAGAACCACCCAGGCAGCCACGAGCCACCTCTTCCCCATCCACATCCCCCAAAAGCTGTTCCTACCCT